GGGCTGGACGCTGTTGCCCTCCTCACTGTCACGGCCGGCTGGACGCCGCTGCCCTCCTCACTGTCACGGCCGGCTGGACGCTGTTGCCCTCCTCACTGTCACAGCCGGCTGGACACCGCTGCCCTCCTCACTGTCACGGCCGGCTGGACGCTGTTGCCCTCCTCACTGTCACGACCTGCTGGACGCCGCTGCCCTCCTCACTGTCACGGCCGGCTGGACGCCGCTGCTCTCCTCACGGTCATGGCCTTCTGGACACCGCTGTCATTGCCAGCCCGCCGTTATATGACCACAGTCAAAGAAACACAAGCAGCGGCGCGTGAACGTCACCATACGGAACTATATCTAGCGGCGATAGCAGCGATACAAGTACTGTTCAAAATCGTTCCTAAGCGAGCAAGCTGTGCGTTATTTTGGTTATGTTGGCAAGTTTTTGTGGACTTTTTCAACATGGTTACAACTCCGCCGGCTGCTGGCTGATGCAGTGAATGTCTGTCATATGCATCGCGTGAAATGCTATGTGTCGCCTTATCAGACCTATTTTGCGAAGCTGTTGCGGTTCCATGCACGAGCTCCTTAAAAAAATGGCGCGCCGTTTGTTTTGTTTAACACCAGTCAGCCAGGATCACTTGTTCTTAGTTATGTTGCTCATGGCGGTTTCTCCTGCCGTGGCTGGGAGGTCATTTGTTCTTAATGGCGGTGCTGGGACGGTTTCTCCTGCCATGGCTGGAAGGTCATTTGTTCTTAATGGCGGTGCTGGGACGGTTTCTCCTGCCGTGGCTGGGAGGTCGTTTGTTCTTAATGGCGGTGCTAGGACGGTTTCTCCTGCCATGGCTGACCCGGCTCGCACTGCGTCGACCCATGCTGACTGGCTGACCCGGCCCGCGCTGCGTCGACCCGTACTGACTGGCTGACCCGGCCCGCGCTGCGTCGACCAATGCTGACTGGCTGACCCGGCTCGCGCTGCGTCGACCCGTGCTGACTGGCTGACCCGGCTCGCGCTGCGTCGACCAATGCTGACTGGCTGACCCGGCTCGCACTGCGTTGACCCGTGCTGACTGGCTGACCCGGCTCGCACTGCGTCGACCCATGCTGACTGGCCGACCCGGCCCGCGCTGCGTCGACCCGTGCTGACTGGCTGACCCGGCTCGCGCTGCGTCGACCCATGCTGACTGGCTGACCCGGCTCGCGCTGCGTCGACCCGTGCTGACTGGCTGATCCGGCTCGCGCTGCGTCGACCCGTGCTGACTGGCTGACCCGGCCCACCCTCACCCCCGTGTGCCGCTCCGTTTCAGATCATGTTCACGGAGGAGGACGTCAAGTTCTACCTGGCGGAGCTGGCGCTGGCGCTGGACCACCTGCACTCTCTTGGCGTCATGTACCGCGACCTCAAGCCCGAGAAGTAGGTGACGGACGATCCACTGGGCCGCCGGCGGACCGTTGGGCGGGTGTCGGGCCGCGCCCACCAGGGGAGCTGCCCGGTGGAGCCGCCCGGCAGCGCCGGGCCGAGACCGTGACGCGGTGGCTGACCGCGCTCGCGGCTATAACGTGGGTCCGGTGCTGACGGCTCGACAGTACAATAGAGTACCCGGTGGTACCGGGTCCTTCCTGTTGGTGCCCGAGAAGAGTCTGACGGGCAGTTGTTTTTTTGGGCCGAGGAAGCAGCTTCCCTGGGTTATATCTGTGAGGCGTAAGGATAATTTTGTAATGCGGGTTGCTGGCCATTAACGTCGCCTTTGCTAGTTATGCAAGTAGATTGAAGTGTTGCGTCATGTACATAGATGGGTGTATTTCGGGTCCTCCTTTTGTTGTTTATTGGTGTTTTCGGGCGCGTCGACTGCAAAGGTCATTTTGCGTCCATTTCGGCTCCTCCATGAACGTGGTTGATCTTCAGTCAGAGGCATTGCACAGGCACATATCGGTGTGTAATGCCGGTCGTCAGGTGAGATGTCACGTTACAGCATCCTGCTTGGGGCGGACGGCCATATATCGCTGACAGACTTCGGTCTCAGCAAGGAGGCGCTGGACGACAAGAAGGCGTTCAGCTTCTGCGGAACCGTCGAGTATATGGCCCCCGAGGTGGTCAACCGGAGGGGGCACACCTTCGCCGCCGACTGGTGGAGCTTCGGCGTACTAATGGTTAGTTGAGCTGGCCAGAGACGACACCGTAGGCAAGCTCGCCGTGCTGGCTGTGGCAGAGAGGTAGAAAGGCTGGTGTTTTCGAAAAGGTTTCACATCATGTTATGGTTTTAATGGATTCAAGCACCATATGCCAGAAGCCATTTGGACCATATCGCGTCAGGTAATCTTTAATCGCATTAGCTGCGCATTTCATTATTACGTACAGCACCGTTGTGCACTTAGGTGGTCTTGACATAATGGCGCGTAAAATCTTCACACCTTGAGGCAGGATAGGTCTCCCCCGTAAAACGCTGGGGACTACAGGCCACACCCCCTCCCACTTTGTTTTTCGTACGAAGCAGGTGAAACAAGTCCGCTCCATTGCCGCGTTGGTGACAACACCTGCCCCAGTCCATCGGTGATGGTGTGATGTTTCAAATCGCTACACGCGCGAGCTGTTTACCCCCGACTGGGATGGCCTGCCGCCGGTGGCTGTGGCCGCTCAGGTCAGATGCGGTAGGAGGGTGGGGTGGGCCGTGCCGAGTATTGTGGCACGCTCGATCTCTGCCGCGCAGTTCCTCCACATACCCGGCGTGGCATGATCATACGGCGTGGTCAGGGTTCATGCAATAAACACTGCTCAACGTGAGCCTTTCTCCCATTATGGTATCCTATCGACAGAGTTAAGACTAATGTAGCAGCTAGTTTTAGGTCAGTGTACGCTACTGGGATACACTGGCGCTCCAGGAACACCACGCGTGTGTTCGTGCGGAGCTCTGTAATATTGCGAGCTGATAAGAAGGATTTAGTGCATCAGGGGTAGCTATGGCACTATATTTGAATTGCCCTAAATTTAAAGGAGTGGCGTGAAAGACATGGCTGGCTTAACGCACTTTGTGCGTTAGAGTCTTTGTCCGGGATCTGAGGCAACAAGGGGGCCTTTTATTTCCTTTCTAGCTTGTAAAAGCTGCCACGCCCACGCCAAGGAACTTGTCGTT